TGATGTGCAGTATAACTGAATTTGCACAGCCTGACATGGAATTTGGCCAAGATTTTATTTACAGCATCCTGTGCAGTGTGAGATGCAGTATCGCATAAGACTGCTGTAATCACACAGTGTAAAGCATGATTAATGTTATTGCAACTACAAGCAAGGGAGCCTGAAGATGCAAGGGCATCAGAGACAGACAAATCTTTAAACAGTACTTAAAACTGAACCTTCATTTTTTGTTTTAATTTAAAAATCAACCATTCACTCCCCTGTTCATATGGCTCAATTACGCTGCAAAGACATGGTATTTCATTCCATTACATCTGCCTATTCAGCCTATTACCACACCCCCCCCCCACCACACCCCCACCACACCACCCCCACACACACACACACACCTTAATGTTATAGGCAGTCAGCCCAGACTGCTTCATAAATGCAGCATAGTACAGGCCAGCCAATCAGTATAGAAACCATTTATATATATCAGGCACTTTTACAGGATAGAAAATAGTAAAAATGCATTATCTTTTGGTACATTCAGGCTACATACATAGGCTATAATCTGCAGATTTGGACATGGACCTTTCGTTTTGTTTGAGGGAATACCTCTGCCGCTTGTTTCCAATCCACTCTTTCACTGCAATGTGCATTCCTTTGCATTCCAGCACAGTGACATCAGCCGCTCTGTTTGTTTACAGAGGCCTGTCACATGGGCCTGCTTCCCACAGCAGCTCAGCCTGAAAAACGCGCAAAAAATACTGTACAGAGAAAGAAAAGCACTTCTGCTGCTGCTTTAAATGCATCCCATATGTCCAATTTGACAACTCTTAGCAAAACATACAAACACTATGACTAGAGGTTATTTTGTGAAGTCTATATTTGGCCTACAGTACAGCAGCTTATACCAAGAATCAGCTGTAGTCCTAGTTCTGGGTGCACCTTGGGATTGTGCAAGGTGATTTTTCTGATCAGGTCATGGAAAAGTACTGCTAAACATAAACATACTGTACACTATATGTCCAAAAGTTTGTAGATACCCAGGGGCCGGATTCACAACAGTTTTCATAAGAAATAACTTGCGAAGGCTCTTAAGACAAACACTAAAAAGTTCTTAAGAATGGACCTTCTACACCAATATCTTCCTAAGTTTTTTTTTTAATTTGTTTTTGAGAAAAGTCTACGTCAGATTCATGACGTGTTCTTAAAAAGCAGAACTGTTCCCACCTTTGTGCTCTTGAGTGTGTGTTGGTGCTGTTCTTACCTAAGAACAAATTCCAGATAAGAAAACACTGGTGAAAGTCAGAATCTTTGTGAAAAAGGCGCAAGTGGGTTTTAAGAAGAAAGAATGGTTGGTGAATGAGGCCCAGTGTTCTTTAAAAATGATGCTTCTCTTAAGATAATCTTAATTATTTTCTTAAGACAATCCTCATTGTTTTTTTACAGGAGTAGCAGGAGGGCAGGAGTAGCAATTTACAATTTCTCATAACTTTTTTCTTAAGAATATAACACATCTAAGATTTTCTTTCTTAAGACACTTTAGTGAATCTGGCCCCCACTCATCGACTGTTCCTTTAGAAATCAGGGATATTAATAGGCAGTTTGTACCCCCTTTGCTGCAATAACAGCCTCTTGGAAGGCTCTACACTAGATGCTGAAATATTGCATGTTGGTTGTTTAGTTCTGGATCACAAGCACCACTCGAAATCATGCCAATATTGGCTGGAGCTCCATCACCCCAGAAAACACAGTTCCACTGCTCCACAGCCCACTGTTCGGGGGCTTTATACCCCTGTAGCCAACCCTTGGCATTGGGCATGGTGACCTCAGACTCATGTTTAACCGCTGCTCCACTCTATTAGTGCCTTTCTATGGAGTTCATACAAGTGCAACCTCATAGGAGCTGAATTCGCTAATCAGAGCTTGTCTATAAACACTAGGACATGGTGTATCTTTACAAGTCTTTACATCACAGTCTACAGGTGATTCGTCAAGGCTTCTTATGTGATTCTGAATTCAAAACCCTGACAGAAAAATTTCCACTCTTACAGTCCATGAAAAGGTAGGCTTATTTTTACTTTTGTAAAAGTAGCTAAACGTGTCTGTAAGTATTATAGCTAGTTGTATTACCTTTAAAAGGACCTTTTCGTGGAGAAACCCGGGGTTCGTTGTGAAGCGGACTAGTTAGCTAACCGAACATTTTGCAGCGAGAGGAAAACAGGAGTAAGGCAGCTTCGTAACCGTTAGCTCGCTAGCTAACTGGAAAAGCTAACGTCGCTGGCTATGTTTAAACGAGATATGGCGTAACGTTATTCTTTTAGTCACCTACCAGACTCTGCTCATAGATAGTTATTAGAAACAAAATAATATGTCTTGTTATGTAATATATGTGTTCTTAAACTATTCTATTTTACAACAGAAGAAATCCTGTTGTTTATGTACTGGACCTAGCTAGCTTATCATCTGGCCTTGCTGTTTTGTCATTTGTTCGAACGTTAGCTTAGCTAGCTAACCTAGGTTAGCTAACTAGCTACGTCTACTGAATTTTACAGCCCTCACTTGTTTCTCTGAGAAAAGGAGATGTAAAGCTGTTTTATCTTTTAAACTAAGTAAGCTTAGAAATCGCTTTCTACATGTAGCTAATAATTAGAATGTCTGGATATCATAATTTTTTAACTCGTGTAAATTGTATTAGTTAAAATACAATTCATACAGGTAAAGGTTGTTCTCCCCCTTTGACATACAATGGGAAAAGCCAAAGAGAAATCTTAGCTACGTGCCAAATAATATTATTCCCACCATAATTTTTCATGTTAGAATTTTAATTTTTGCTTGTAAAATTAAAAATGTCACAAGTACTAACAACATTTTGTTTAATTTCAATTTCTGACATCAAGAACTTCTGTATTATACGTTAAAACGGTTGGACATGGGGGCGGAGGGGGGGTCTTGGAGGATCATTTTATACAATAAAGGCCATTGATGGCAGACGGCTGCCTTCTGCTGTAGGAAATTCTAGAAGTACTCTGTGTAGCCTAAATACGTGGCTTTATTCAGCTTCGGCAGAAGCAGCACTGACCTGCTGAACAAGTGAACCAACCCAATCTGTCCTGTTAGGCCTGCCAGGTTTCTACAGTAACATCTGCTTGGCTGAGTTGCGAGACTGCTGGCAAAATACAGATCCTCCCATACCTGACAACTGCCATGTTGAAGGTAAGGATAAAGAAATGTGCAGTAAAGTGCCACACAGCTTTCTGACATGCATAGACGATGTGGACACAGGTCAGACAAGCAACATATTTTAATATCACAGCACTTTGCAGATTATATAGTTTAGCATTAAACATCAAAATGAGAAAATGTGAGCTAGCTGAACTCACCACAAGCTCCTATGTGCTGTGCTGTTTGTGTAAAAATGTTTTCTCTGTGATAAGGTGACATCTCAGGCCCCAGTAGGCCATTTTACGTCTTTTATAGATAACCTTCCAGCCATATTCTTGGTATAGGGACGGGAACTAGTGCCATAGATACTGAAAGCTGTAATCTGAAGTTGTTGGTTCGATATATTACATAACTCTCCCAACAGAGACAAAGATAAATTGAACACAGTGTTGACCAGACAGTAAGTCAATAATACGTCAATAATAAGTGAGCAGTCAACAAAATTGATTAATAATAATATGCTGTATTCATGCTCTCTTCTCAGTTCTAGCATTCAAAACTAGATTTAAGGTGATACTTTGCGTGGAAACCTGATAAAGGAGCCGCAGACTTGGTTGAGAATGACTCACTTGTTTGCAGCCTTCTGTTGTGATTATGTTGGTTACTATGGGGCCCACTCATTGATGTCTTGCTCTAGGATATGAATCAACAGCAGTTGTCGAGACCAATGGTTAGTTGGTGCTTGTACCATTCATTAAATTCGTGGGAGTTCCTTAACTCCTCGTCTGTAAGTAATAAACGGCATCCCACGTTTACCCAAAACGAATGTTCTGCGTAAACATACACAGTGCCCACACATCTCGTTCCTGTTCATGAACAGCGACACTGTTCAGTTGCCTTGCCTGTTACAGGCAACACAGCTGAGACTTTGCATCATAAATTTGATCCTTGGGTTGAATTAATTACGGAGTGCCTTGGGTCTTGCTTGTTCCATGTGTGTGAAACGAGTAAAGCAGTTTGGAGGCTCTAATGGAAGAACACTTAATTGTATGCATGCTGTGTCCTGCCTAAAGCAGTCTTTCTGAGATCCAAAAGTTTGTTGCCATGAATGCAAACCCTGCACTACACACTTCACTTGTATCGAAGACAGTGAGGCTTGAAAGGAGATGACGAAAACGTCCACAACCAAATGCTGAGTCTTTTGACCTTTATAGCTGTGCTGAGTTGCTGACAGGCATTAGCTCCCTTCCCCCAATCTGTGAGTCTGTACACAAAGACTTTGTGCTCAGATAACCGTTCATGATTGTCAACCAGAAATCCCCTTATGTTTAAAGGAATACTCCGACCTTTTATAGATATGGGTATTGTGGGCTGTGATATATAAACATTTATAAAATGTGGAAATTGGGACTAAATCCAACTGCATCAGCATTATGGAAAAATATAGGTTTACAAATGCAGTAAAATGGATAAAATGCAGATATTAGCACAGTAACACAGCATCGTCTGAACCTTCTGCTCTTCCAGAGTACAGTAAATGCATCATCAAATATCAGTGTGAAATATCAGTCAAATCTAGACTGATCTGTCTGATGCTGCTATTTTTTAAAATGAAAATTATCTGCTAATATATATGATTTTTATATGATCATGCATCCTTATTTTTTAATCTAATGTCTATAGCCTGCATACATAGCATACAGTTGATAACCATTTCCTGTCTGTAATTTTCTGTAAATACAAACTGTGCAAGTGATTGTCAGCAGAAACAGAAGTTTTGCAAAGACTGACATTAAAACTTTTATTATTAATATTTTCCGGCCACAACAATAAAATTTAACAAATGATCACTAGAAAAAAAAAGTTTACTTCCATCAGCTGTACAATACATACAGTATCATAAAACTGGCCGCCAAGATTAAAATCCACTACAGAGGTGACGTAGTGTTATCAGCAGCATTTCACAAAAAGGAAAACATTATACATATGTACACGTCCACATTGAATTCTTAGTAAATTTCACATATGTACAGTATGTTTCTATGGTTGAATATAAATGTCATAGTGTCAACTTTGCTTCCTTATTTAAAGATTCTTTGTTAAAAAAAGGACTGACTTCAATTGACAGTGGGTAGCTAGATTCAAGATCCTTGGATAACGTTTTCAACAAAAAGTAGCAAAAAAAGGTACATCCTTTCAAAACATAACACTCAGCCAGTTGGTTCGATCGGCCCCAAAGACGCTACCACAGTATTGCACACTAGGCTGACTATTGACTCGCTGTGGATTTTTGGGGCGGCAGTGTTCACTGCGCTAAAGATACATCCAACCATGTCAAATAACAGACGTTTGGAGGTATGCTACATCATTCAGACATTTTAAAAGGTGGTGGGCCTCAAGGCTCCATCTCCTACCTTTCCTTCTTGACTGAAGATAAGCATTCTCCAGATATGGCCCTTGAGTGGCAAAAGTGGCTTAAGAGCCTCTTCCTCGACTAAATGGAGAAACTCTGGCTTTTTTTCCCCAGCCACAACGTAGAATGCACTTTGGTATATACCAAATGCCCTGGGTTAATAAATTACAAGAATATCACAACAGTCTGAGGTAAAATAGTAAAATGTGTTCTTTCTAGAGTAATAAAATGTAACCCTTTGAAATTGATGTTAAGACAAGATGGATGCAGTAGAAAAGACCCATTTCTCTCTCATTAAGAGCGTAGCTTTCACTAGGTGAGAGATCCCTGTTGGCAAAGGGTCTTGGTTCTTCTCTCAAATCATGGGATAGAAATTCTGCGTGTCTAAACTGCATATAAAACCTCTCAATTGTGCGGCCACATTCCTCATAAAATCCACTGCATGGATTCCAAGAGGATCTTTGGGCAATGCTCGGACAAGTGCAAGAGGATCACCAATATAAAGAGGATCTTTATAATTCCTTAGATTTCTTTATAGCTATGAGGAAGTGAATGGGTTGGGGGGGGATCATTGTTGGGATGAAAAAAAATGAATGGCATTGATAACCAAAGGCACATTGTATTAAAACCTAAGGGCACAATTACTCCCCACCACTGTTAATCCACAAAAAACAGCAAAAAACGTATAAAGTACAATGTGAACGGCCTGCAGACGTTGGCAGGTTACTGTGCATTTGCAAATGTACGGTGGGTGTCCAAAGGGGTCTGGGCAGGGTGCAGCAAGCCATGTACCATGCCAACCAGTAGCAGGGGGGCTCAAGACCCATGTGAGTGCCACAGCGTTGCTTTTCCACTTAGAAGCCCATTGTCCAACCCCTTTCTTTCCCCACCTCCCACATCCGCAACTGGTCGAGAGCAAAGCACGAATGCTTTTTTTTTCTTCCTTTGAGCAGAGTCTTGAAGTAGTAGCAGACAGAATTCTTGTGCATTACATCATAAGTCACTCCACTGATATCAAGCCAACAGCACACATTCAGGCCACTGTTTCTGTTTATATTAGCTCTTCTTTGAGAAACAATAACAAGAAATAAATAAGTTAAACTTTTACAAAGCTTTCAGACCCACGTCAGTTAATTTTCTTTTTACCATACTATTTCAAAAAATGCTACAAAAAATGGCGTCTAGTGAAATATCCATTTCTAAATCTTTTTTTTCTAGGTTTGGGTAAAAGCGTGATGTAGTTTCAAGAAGGGAACAAGCTTTTAAGAATTTAAACTCTGGCCGCATACTAGTGAGTCCACGTTAGGAAGTTAAATACAGAAAAAGTGATATGAATTGCAGAGGGTGAGCTCTGATTACACATGACAATCGGATGAGACGACTCCAACCCTCGCTTGAAGTGCCCCTCTGTGCCATAGTCTTTCCATGATAGTGTTAATACTGGCTCAGATTCAAGTAAACCGCCTGTCAATAAGTGATTAGCACATACCTTTCTAACTCACTGCAAACCCGCAGTCTTTAGAAGGGAGAGTAAGTGATTCAAAAGATCTTCAACCCTATTGCTGTAACTACTTTTCACTTACTAGGATTAGTTTCACGACATCATTTTGTTCCATGAGCATAGGCATTAAAATAGTAAAAAATACCTTTTAAATAAAAAAGGTAAAGCACCAAAGATTTTTTCCTAGACAGTACAACAACGTGATCACAGCAGCTCTTCCAGAGTATAGCTTATAGTTATATACAGATGAGCCAGTCAGTTACTGCCAACAGCACTTTCCTCAGTCAAACCACATAAACTCCTTCTTTCTTGCCATCAGTCAATTTTGGAAAGGTAGACCATCCTGAAGTCTCTCTTTTCCTCATTTCAATTTTATAAGGAATGTCAAGAGATTTTTAGGCACATACCAAGTCTATCATGTAAACATTGTTTTTCTCCCTTCTGCCTCATAACAGTCTCAAACATTCACTTTTCCGTTATGAATTTCAATTCTCCTCTCAAGGTCTTCAAGCGACATCTCATCCTACCCTTTTATTCATGATACCGACAACTGAAAAAAATAGCTTTAAATGCTACACAACTGCAGATAGCATAGCTTTTAGTAAAACATTTTAAATCCTCTTCCATTAATGCACTATTGATCTGATAGATTATAGAGGTAGGAACTAAAAGCTAGTGTACGCATCAAACCCAAATTAACTTCATTTTTGAAAGTCTGTTCGCCTTTTGTGCTACAAGATCTACAAGACATAGGTAAGGAAACTGATTAGGACTTCATTAGTAATAGACCAGATTGTATGAATGCCCTATGGGTGCAGCATTCCACACAGTCCTGAGATAAAAACTTAAAAGTATTGTTCCCTCTTTCTTGGCCATTTTAGTATTTCTATAAAAGTGTTTTAAACAAAAAAAAGGTGCTACAAAGCTGAAAATAAATGGTGAATATGCATTAAAGACTCTGTTTTCCTAAAAACCCTTACACTCATGAATTCTCAGCTTTCCACAATTATATCACCATTTAAAGAAATTAAAACCTAAAATCTTTTCGCATTCAGCTGACTAATTTTGGCAACACTGTCCTCTGCTGTATATTCCCATTGGCATCGGTAATTTGTGCCAGGTTAGTCCTTAATTTTGAGGCTGAGCCTGATGTGGGAGGTAATTTGGAGATAGATGTTATAGCACCTGTGCCCTCAGTGATCCGCTTTACGGTCGTTTTCTCCCCAGTGGGAGGTTTTGGCAAGCGTCTTCTTAGCCATGGGTGGCGGAGGGCCTGACTAGGGGTCATGCGCAGAGCTGGGTCCCACTCCAGACACTGCTTGAGGAAGTCCAGAAAGAGGGGGTCATCGCAGCCCTTGAGCGCTGTTACCCAATCCTTGCTTCCTGGCGGACCTCGAAGCTTGCCCCTGCGTGACCGTCCACCGTTTAACGCCACTGTGCCATCAGGCAAAGACGTAACTGTGCAGTAACGTGGATATCCCTTTGAGCTGATAAAATTTTTGGCTCTCTTAGAGGAATCCAACAGCTTCTGGGAGGGCATGCCCAGTAGCTCTATGACACATGCTAGTTGGTCCCCTTCGTCTTCCCCAGGCAAGAGAGGGTACCCTGTGAGTAATTCCGCTAAGATACAACCCAGGCTCCACATATCAATTGGCATCCCATACCGAGAACCCAGAATGACCTCTGGGGCCCTATAGAAGCGTGACTGGATGTAGGTGTAGACTCGCTGGTGCTCGTAGCAGCTGGAACCAAAGTCGATCACTTTAATTCCGCTGCGTCCCTGCTGTTTCAGGAGGATATTCTCAGGTTTGAGGTCGCAATGAATGATCCTGTTTTTGTGCAGGAAGTCCAGACACTGCAGGATGGAGTGCGCAAACTTGCGCACCAGCGGCAAGCTGAAGCCCTGAAACTTGTTCTTCTTGATGAGCTCATAGAGGTTCATGCTGAGTAGCTCGAATGTCATGCAGATGTGATTGCGGAATGTAAAGTTCTCCAGCATGTGGATGACATTCATGGTAGAGTCTTTGTCCTGCTTGCGCAAGTGCTCCAAGATCCGAATCTCCTCAGCTGCTTGGCGGTGAAACCGCTTCTCGTTACGTACCATTTTTAAGGCCACATGCTGGTGGGCCTTGTGGTCATAGGCCTTCACCACCTGTCCAAAACTGCCCTTACCAATGACCTTTAATACCTCATACCTGTAGGCTATATGGTCATGGGGTACATGGATATAGGAGCCCTGATCATCATCATAACCTCCGTTGTTGGAACCCCCGACTACACCTGGCCGTTTCTTTGCATTTGGGCCTACAAAGTAGATTTCAGGGTAGCTGAAGACCTCCTGATGCTCAAATGTTGTAAGCTTGGACAGGTACTGCTTCATGGCCTGCTCAGGAGTCAATGGGGCTGGCTTGGGCTTGCTGTCCGTTGATTTGATGGAGGTGGAACTGCCCTGCCGACACTGGCTGCTTTCTTGTTGTCGTTCCGGCAGGGCCAAACCTGCTCGGCTGACTGGCGTCAACCCATTCGGCTGTGTAGTCAACACTGTCCGCTTATTGCTGTTTTCCTCAAACAGCTGTTGAACATGTATCTGCTGGTGGTTCCCGACATGCAGATGGTCGTTCATTGCGTGCTTATTGCCTCCAACCTAGCAAAAGCACAAGCGAGAAACATTAGTAGAGGATTCCTCCAAGAACAATACATTCAACAAATTACTTATATGTTGACTGACATACGCGTAATATGTAAATGGCAATGTTTTCCAACCCTGGCCCTAGAGGTACACTGCCCTGCATTTTTTTTTGTTTTCCCTGCTGCTAGTAAACCAAATCCAACTAATCAAATCATTAACAACCTCTTATTGAGTTAAAGTGGCTGTGTTTAAACAGGGAAAGCACTAAAATGTGAACAGCACTGTGCAGTGTGGGTTGGGAAACACTGGTCTGTGATTGAAACCCAGTACGTGACTCTCTTTGAGGTGTTTCTTTCTAGATCGGGGGTCACCAGTCTTACCTACAAAGGTCTGGTGTGGCTGCAGGGTTTCAATCCAACTGAGCAGAGCACACTTCATACAACTGATCAGTTTTTTGTACCCTAAGACAAAAAGGTGGAATTAGGTGTGCTTCTGCTTGATTGGAATGAAAACCTGCAGCCACATAAGCACTTTGTGGATAAGATCAGTGACCCTTGTTCTAGATTGTCCGTTACAGCTTTGTTTTAGTCACCTAGGCAACAGCACCACAGTAGCTATTAAGAAGGATCCTCCTGTCGTCTCCTCTGACGTATAAACCATTCAAATCTTGTTCTCAGGGCAGTGTGAGGTCACTCAGGGCAACATCTCAGAGAGGTTATGAGCAGGACTGACAGGCTTGACTTTCACCATGTTCTGTGCACCTTACGTTTCATTCATTTTCATTACATTTTCACTCGCCTGAACACACTGTGAAATTGACTACTTACGTTTGGAATTTGATTTACTCATTAAACAATGCATACCTGTGTTGACCAAGCTTAGGACACAGAGCAACTACATCCTCCTGGTGTGTTTAGCAGAAACTGCCACATTCTACAAATTAGAATGCAATGTACGTATGGAAAGAAAAGCCTCAGAGATAAATTACAGATAAATAAACAACAAATTATTTACAGACAGACAGTCCACAGGTGGTTTAATTGTGACAGTGGCCTTGGCTGGCTTGACCCACAGACCACTTGCAGCTTTTAATGCAGAGATCGCTGAACAGACATGAAATGTCTTGTTCATATCTTATGACCTCACAGTCATAAATACTCTACTGATTTGTCATGATGTCCATGACATACAGCACTACACACAAACAAACACAATTTTCAGTGTTACATAACTGGTGCAAAGGATTTGGTGTCCATGTTGTTAAAAAGGATTGGAGTCAACTTTCCTTGAACTTGGATGCCACTAGTGGACCAGTTGAGTTCATGTGTGATCCAAAGCTATATAATCCAGTTTGCTTTCTCTTGTGTGCTCTGCATTTCACATTTTTCTTCAAATTCTGAGGGACAAGCTCAGCTTTTGTTTACCAAAGACATTAGGCATGCATTTCCTGCTTTCCTGAAGCTCCCCCTCTGAAAGATGCTTGCTTCCTTGATAATATGATTGTCTCTGCAAATTGTTTTCACTATGATATCCTGTTGCCTCAGTCAGAGGTTTGTCTTTGTCCAAGTATGTCCTGCAAAACGAGGGTGGAATTCTCTAGTCTTTTGGTACAGTATGTTTTCCCCTATGCGAACTGTGCACAATATCTTACTATATCTAAAAGGTTAGTGTTCTGTTAGTGGGTCTTCAAACAAACTGGAATTTGGTACATTTTTACAAATTATATAATTCAATTGTAGAGATGTAAAAAAAGGTCATTCAAAGTGGCATGATGTGAAATGGTGCGCTGTAGAAAAATTTACTAACAAAAAAAAATGTAGAATCCAAAATGACCAGTGAACCTACATATCCCATCTTAGTAAAACACTACATGTGAATGAGCGCTAATTGTTTTTTATTTTGAAATCTCATTTTAAAAGAGTGTGATGTTTTAATCACAAGCACTGCCTACATTCTCTAAAGTTTCAAGTAGGGAAATCTAACCTAATAACACTGAGCTTGTAAACTGTTTGTAAATGAGTTAGGCCAACAGTCTAGCACACTATATTATATATATACTATATACTATATAATAATAATCAGAGTTTAAATCGCAGTCACAATATTGGTGAGAATTATCACAATTAGATATTTTCCCCTAAATTGTTCAGCCCTAATCACCATTTTGACAGGGTTTGTGATTAAATCATGAAATAAACTTTGGAAATATTGGTGGAATCCCCCTTTAATCTCAAGCTTTTCAAACACATGTTACGGGACATCTTGAGGGACCTAATCATGAAGTATAAATAGAATATGAGACTTCTGTTTTCTGCTAAATTTTTTTATTTTATTTTATTATTCTCACACTCCACATGGCAACTGCAAGAGTAAATGCAAATGCAAACTGCAAATGCTTGGCTTTCACTCTAAATTGCACAGTCCTGACATAGCCAGCCCTTAAAACACATAAAAACTGTAGCCACATCCTCCTGTTTAACCATGTCAGAAAATAAGAATGATATCAACTCTAGAGCTTTGCATAGGCAAATACATGGCCTACGCATGGTCTAATGTATAGGAAGTATGCGTATGTAGTATGTATGTGCACAGATACTACTGTTATGTGCTGTAAATGCATTTATAACCACATTATTCTACTGACATCAACAGACCAATATGGTTCACAAACAGCATATAATTGGACCTAATAATGAATTTGAATGGATGCTTCGACAATTTCATCCCCCTTTTGTGGTTGGCCTCTCTGAGGTTAATTCAAAATGTGGACAGGTGGGGAGGGGGTCATTGCGAGGGCACGTGTACTGACAGCTGTAAAGGACACACAAACGGCAGCTGGACAAAGACACACAGTGTGTCTCGGGGGCACAGGAGGCATGACAATCATTTTAACGCTCCCCTACCCTATTTCTGTCTTCTATGGTAGAGTTTAGCAAAAATGAAATCTTCAGAAATATATATCACTAGAGGTCAAATAAGGACAGAAATGTTGAAAAATACTCAAAAAAGAATCGGCACTATGGCAAACAATGAGATCAGGGGAATAATAATAACTGCAGAAGTAAGAGATAGCATCACTGCTTCAGGAGCAGTAATTTAAAATATTTAAAATCTTAATTATCATTAACGTTATATATCATAATTAGAGATCATAATAATAGCCTACTTAGTTGCTCTATAACTACACTGTAACAGCAGACATGTTACCGCTTCATTTCCTACAGAAACAATGGGGCTCTGACAGCAGGAAAAAAACATAAAAATTACAGTCACATCTGTGTTTAATGTAATTCCTATTTTCATCTACATTCCTGGTGATTAGATCACAAAAAAACTGAAACAATATGAAAAGAACCATTTTTTCTAAATAAAATGCACCCGAGCACTAAACCTAAAGGCTAAGCTTTTCTTTTGATATTTTCAACAATGGTTGGTAGATGTGCAACAAGGAATAATATTTAGCATAGAAGCACAGTCAAGGTTTATTTCACTAATATATGTGACATGAGTTCATTCTTGTAAGATGCATGCCAGAGAGCAGTTAATTGAGTTATTTGGGCTCGATGCTGGCTGGGGTTTCTGAGCGCCTGTAATTACTTGAATTAGAATGACAGCTATATAAAGAAGTCCAGACTCTGCTTCTTAGTTCATTTAAATGGCATTAATACATTCTATCAGCACTATGCAAAATACAGCTGGAATACTGAATGATTTTTTTTCATACAGATGCTGGTAATTTACATTTTTTACAGCATTCAGTATATTTACATTTTGATATAGACATGAAAGGTTTTGTCTAATTGGAGATTGCAGATCGCGTTGGTTCATACGATGCATAATAATACAGGACAGAAGTATGCCGGCCTCGATTACTGTTCTAAGCATAAGCCCACAGGCAACTGGTTTTCTCCCCATCCCCCACCACTGGCAAGCTCCACAGCTCCAACACAATATGTTAGCCCATGGCTAATTGTGTCTAGCGCCTGTGTTTACCATGACAGTTAAACAGCGCTACTGTTCACATCTGTATCAGTGCACAAATCACACCAAAGGGTTTCTATTCTTGCAGTTTTACACAAGGCTAGCTACTAAATGTCACCCTGGCACATGCACAGGTAGACCCCATATGCTTGAGCTCCTATCGCTTTTCCTCTAGACTTAACAGGTGCTATCATGGCCAGTGTTTATAATCACTGTATTTGGCCTCCGTCTGGCTCCTGAGGCAGGCTGTCCCCACACTCTAACCAGAATGTCTCTTGTAGCCCTAGTGAAGATGTGGTCAAAACGAAAAGCAGCTGACGTACACGCCTCATGACCAAACCTGGAACCTACACCTCATATGACAGTGGTCATCCAAACTGCCTGCTTGGTGTTCAACAATTAAACATCCCAAAAGCAGATCTCTATATAATACACTGCATGAGTAATGAAATAATGGCTTCTGTACCCAAACAGTGAATATTGTGTCCAATAGTGAACCATGTGGGATTCATTTTGATACACAGACTTGGATCTGGTCAAAATTTGGTATTATGAAGGGTTTATTTTGTTCAAATACATCTTTATCATTTAAAAACTATAGTAAAACCATATGCATTTCTACAGGGTTCCTATAAAAATTGGATACTAAATTTGGACAATTACTATAGTTTACTGTACTACAGTACTAGAAGTGGCATATCAGTATCAGTAGTTAACACTATAGGGCCCAGAAAACGAATTAATCCAATCCAATATTGTAACAAATATATCTTAAAATAGGACACACCCAGAGTGTGTGATGTCATGTTACTGTCCATGTATTTCTTCCTGTGCTTAGTAGCTTTTAAGAAAAATATAGTCTCAGGATTAGTATTGATCAATACTCAAGGATTAAACACTGGTATCGGAAAAAAGTGGCATTGTGCCATCACACAGGACAGCACAACAGAAATACTATATTATTACTATATTATAGGTATTACACCTAGGAATATGGCTATAATACAGCTCTACAGAAATCGTATAGTGCCTTATAATCGCTATAAGCTCCCTCACAGAAAGCTATTAAAAGAAATGTCTGAGACTTTGTCTAAGACATTGTTTTACAATAGTTTTGCAAGAGTCTTTTGGCTTAAACATATTTTTTAATGCGCTCATGTTGGAGAAATACATGCAGGGTGTTGTGAGGCAAAATAGACCTCAATAAAAATTTACCTCTATTTTCCAGATTTACCTCTGTTTAACTAGCAGCACTGTTACAGTGAAATACACCCAAGACTCGGTAGGTTCACTAGTAGTGTTGGATAGTAAATAAAATCATTATATTTGCACTGTAAACATCGCAACTCCTGGTTCTCATCACTATCACTGTGAAGAAATCCATGTTATGCTATGTTAGCATCTTTAGGACTGAACTATGCAGACGTTTAGAAAATATTAGTGGAATTCCGCTTTAAGGTAGAAACAGTCTTTCGGGCTTACCAGGTTTAAAATCCGGTTAGACAATGACTGCAGCGGCTTGTCTGAGTGCTGTTTAAGTGCTGTGCAAGGTTAATGGTGTAATGTGTAGTGTTTTCCGTACCGTGAGCGAGTTGGTGTTCCTGAGAGGCGGTAATGTGACGGGCGATGCCGGCTCAGTCCCTGCCCGGAGAGCCCCGACGCTGATGCCGGGGGAAGACTGCGGCTGGCAAATTTCACCCCCTTTGCCTAGGGTTTAAGAAGACGACATGTAAGAAACATGAGCCTTCCATAGCTGCACACATCCAACGAGAACGAAAGAAGCGTCCAAATATCATTTAACGTTACTCAACGGAGGCGCTAGCTCTGTGGCAAATAGCCACGGGCATCCACAAAGCAGATTCAGAGTTGAGGCTACAGGCGTACATGTGGCTGCGATCGTTTAAATCAAGCAACAGGGCATATTTGGTTGTTAAAATGCTGAAAAATGAGACCTGACGAATGAGAGGAATCCCCCGTGTGAACAACATGATCGTAGAAATGCATTTTGACAAATGAAAACTATGGTTAGCTCATCTCGAAACAAAGCTGATCACAGACAGCTAAGTTAGCATTAGCAACGGCTTAACGTTACTCGTTCAGAACGCTTTATCTGCTTTACATTAGCTTTGTGTGATATTCAAGACATTTCCTGGAAATAAAATTAAATAAAACATTCCTCGACTGCTCGAAACGGAGCATGGCTATAGCTAAGCTACCGTAGCCTAACGTTACCTCAGTCTCCAACAGAGGCAGATCAAACGTGAAACCGCCTGGCTAAGCCTCGCCTTATGGACGGAGCATTATAAATCCGGATAAACAGTCCTGCGTCCAGCGCGGCGAGTTACACGGGCCCGGTTTTTTGCTACAGCCCTCCTGAATCCGGACTTTAGCTTCCTTACCAGTTGGGTAGACAGCAGCGCAGGGTTTCTTGGTTAACATGGCCGCTGGAGAGTCACACACAGGGAAAAAAAGCCCACTTCAGAATATCCCCTCCTCCCCCTCCTCCGCTGGGCGATCACCACCAACTCTGCTACTCCAATCAGCTACATCCAGACTCGCATTCTCGGCGAGGGCTGCTTCCTCAAACACAAGCCCGAGTTGGCTTACCATCGCTCGGAGCCGCCCGACGGAAGACGCGCCCTGTTAGAGGCACAGCTCCACACTGCACACGCACAAAGCCTCAAACTTCCTAGCTGCATGTTAACACCAACTCTCTCCCGGACTCTAGAGGAAAGCTTTGTAAGGCACTATGGGTGTTGCCTGGCTTATCTAGCGTCCCTGTTCGCCTCCACCTCTTTCACCCCCCCGTCCCCATCCCCCCAGAGCAGAGGGACGTGGTTGGTGCAGTTTGTAAAAGTGGTCCACATCTAACTTCACCCTCTTATAATGTCAGTTTAAAAAGGCACTGTCTATCTATGAACTATTATCAACAAAGTGACCATGACTTAGTGAGGGTGCAGTCGTCTCAATCTTATGTGTACACTCTTAAAAAAGATGGTTCTATAAGGGTTCTTTGGTAAAGGGAACTATATAGAACCATTTGGTGCTTAAATGGTTCTTTGCATGGTGAAATGGTTCTTCAGACTGAAGGAGAATATATTATATATATGTTATATATGGTTATATGTAGAAGCTTTTTGAAAGTGGTCCTATATAGCGCCAAAAAGGGTTCCTCTATTATTATGATGTCAAGCTTGTAACAGTAGAAGAACCTTTTTTGGGGAAACAAATGTTCCCAGATTTTAAGTTTTTAAAAGACAAAAACATTTATCTCCAGATATGGCATTTACTGGCATACATATTCCCTTGTGCAGTTAGTTATAGCATGGACTTTCAAGCCTTCGCACTTGGAATCATTGTCCACTAGAGGGAGGAGAGCAGCTTATCTCCAGACTCGGCCTACTCTCTCTTTCCTAGCATGTCATGAACAGTACATAAGGATCCCTGCAGAGTACAGTGCGTACATGAGCTGTACAAATTAGCTTCTAACTGATCTCAACAGTCCTTACTTTGGTGGAATTTGTCTGAATGTGATGTGTGGACTACAGCAATAGTATTAGGACTGTAATGTAATTTTACAGCACATACATTACATTAGCAGATGCAGCACATATTAGAGAGGTGAAAGATGCTTTAGGACACCAACCTATACACAATAAAGGACATGTAGGGACAATAAATGTCATGAAGTTGATTATATTGGGTCACAATACCCAGTCGCCCTTGTCATAGCATAAAATACATTATCATAGTTGTCCATATTTATGTAACAGAAAATAAATTGCATTAAACTGCAAATGCTGAAATTCCCATAGCTGAAACTGCATACATTGGAAATATGTTTGTTGATAAGCCATAGAGGTCAATGTAAAAAAAGGAAAACCTCAGTATCAAAGACTGGGAGACTGATGAATAATGATTGATTACTAGGCGGAGCCCATGTGGTGAAACATACCCCAACAATTAACTGCCTCTGAGAGGTTGTTTCTGGTACTGGATGGAATAAATTTATATATATACCCACCCTAAAGGCAAAATTTTAAATTAGCATGCAACATTTCAAACAGAGTTGCCATTCACTGCCTCAATCAACCTCACTGAATTCCGCCTAACAGGACTTAATATTTGCTATTATTGCTAATATTTGCTGTAAAGCTAAATTAAGTCAAGATGAATTGACAAATAACTTTTAAATGGGAAGTTGTGTGTATCTCAGTAATAAACTCCACTAAGTAATAGCAAACAGATATCTTAAAAGAGTAATATGAATGCTTAAGCCTAGCTTACAGTTGCATGCAAAATGTTGATTTTCTAAGTGAAAAAAAAGTATCCGCCACAAGGAGCAAGCAAAGTTTTCCATATGAATGTATGTGCTCTTGCCCGTTACTAAGTTTTCAAAGGTCATATCTAAATATATTAAGCCATCATATTAATGACATCAGTAGGCAATTTTTATCTTCTGGTACCAATTACAGATATGTAAATTTGTACACTGTTCTGTAAATCATATTACAGTCATTACAGTCAGGATGGCAGTATGATTGTCATGTGCAGCAACTCAGATTCAAACAGTCATATATGGGGCCACGTGTCAGGCTGCACTCAGCAGGAAATAGAGCATGCTGGGACGGTTTGGTTGGGCATTTGTCACCGCGGTTACTAGGAAGCCTCATCAGGAACTATGTGAAGGACCGCCACCATTAGCAGTGTTGGGTTGTTTCCACCAACACACAAAAAACAAGGCTGAGCGAGAGCCCATGTCAGTCTCACATTGTTGCCTTGTAGCTTGTGATAATGGGCTATCAGAGAGGGCTGACAGAAACCCATTCACTCAAGCACACCAGTGTGAAACTGCCCCAGAGAGTAAAAGCTGTGAATGGACATGCAGGGATATGATAGGCATGCAATGGTAGGTGTTAGGTGCTGCTGAGTCTCCTGCTAGAGGCTGAGATGTTGTGAAACATGGGCATTCAAATTATATAGTGATTTAGTACATTACTAGACCGACATAGTTTTGCATCTCCAAAAACAAACCAAGGAGATTGTTTGATTTACAAACTGGCAAAATGTCCACATTAACTACAATTGCATTCTGTATTGAGGTAAATCGATATATTGTCATGTATACAGACCTCATAATGCTATTTTTAAGATTTTTAATCATTTACCTTATCTGCTCTTTACATTATGTAGACCAGGGCTGCTAAACCACTTACCTAATAAAACAACATATTTTATACTATAACAAAGTTTTATATATAAAACTTATTGAATTTTCATATTCCTTTTAACCCCAGGCGTATTACATACTAATGCATATTATTCATTAACTACAGGGACTTCAACACAAACTAATGAATCTATTCTTAGGTTATAGAATTGGGTAATAAAACTTTGAGCCTGTCGGCAGGCCCATGGCTTGGTAAGGAGTTCAGTAACTAAATATTGCGTAATGTTGTAAAATACATTTTTAAAACTTAATTTTAAACCTACCTATGTTCTTTATTTGTATACAGTTTTGATTTTTTGGCCCTAGGTCCACCACAAATGTTGCCCCCCCCCCAAGACAAAAGGTTTTGGCACCCCTGGTGTAAATATTTCATTTCGAGTGGACCAAAAGAAATGGTCCAAAATTACTTGTAATAAAATCTCATTATATTAACACATCAATCACATGCTCACATGCTTTGCTCTCAAGGCATTGGCCTACAAGGAAAACTCATTGCTGTTTGTTCCCTCACCCTGGCCTCTCTCTGAGGGAACATCTGATCTTTAGGGGATGAGTCAGTGGTGCTGTCTGAGAAGCTCCAAACACAGGCTGTGTTGTTTTTCCTTTGCCTTCTGCTGACACTTCCGCTCAGCATCGTTCTGGGGAGGCCTAATAACATGACATAGCTCTGCAGACATATGGCTGTTGGGTCCCATCCATACCAGCCCCATTCAGGTTCTGCTGCTGGTGCCATGTGATGTAAGGTACATCTCATTTGTTGGGGTTTTATAGTAATGGCAAAAAGATCATACGGTGTGTGGGTCATATAGTCCCAAAACAAGGCCATCAATAATAAGTCTATAAGCTGATTGCCAATCGCTACCAGCCCCAAACTCACATATCAGCACTAATTGTGGGTAGCCTACGAAGATAAATCAGGTCTAGCTGAATTGATGGATCACACTTGAAAAGGTATGGTATCTCAGTAATAATCGCCTTTAAATAATGGTCTACTGCTGCAGCCATGTGACATGAAGAACATTTCATGTTTTCGAGGTGTGATGCAAAGACCGTATACTATATGTGTATACTATATGTACGGTCTTCTTTGCTCTCCTGTAATAAAGGCATCAGCTTAGAGGAGCATGCAAGCCTTGGCCTATATTTAGCTGCAGTGTTTTCCGAGATGCTGGAGCATCCAGACATCAGAAGCGGAAGTGGGAATGCTCAGTGGTCCCAGTCTGAGTGGCATCTCTCTGCTTAGCAACATGCTCACTGAGGCATAAGTACATGCTGGAAGGCTTGTTAGAGAAACACGCAACAAACATGCAACCGTTTCTGTCATCTCTTCATCCATTTCGGATTTATAGAATGTCTTTGTCTAATAGGTCAAATATCAGGATTTTTGTTGTTGATTATGCAGTGCATATTCTTATTCCATGGCTTATATTGCTGCTAGAACTCCACCATAGGACCCAAGTAGTTTCGCATCTGTATGAATCTTCGTTTCTTCATAAAAAGAGATCATTTCAGTATATTCAGTCCAAGATTTCTTTACAAAGGACATTGTGACCATTTTGGTCAAATTCATGATGTAAAATGCAGAATGTTTTTGCAATTTTTTTGCAAGTTATCATATATATTTAAAGGGTTTGGCCAAAAATTAAATGTACATGATTTTCCCCAAAAATAGATTAGCCAAGACATGTTTGGTGTCTGAAGTTTGCTTTTGTCATTTTTTTAGGTAATCTAGCAAATTTGTTTGACATTGATAACCAGTGGCTATAATTACATGTTAGCTAAATTAGTATTGTAGCTCAAGTGTAAAATTGAGAAATTTCAGGCACCAAACATGTCTTGGGTGACCAACTGCATTTGGAGTAAGGGGGAAATTCTGTAGATTAAGCATGTCATCATGATGTTGATGATAAAATTGTAGCTACAAATTAATTCCTGAATAAAGAATTGTGATTAACAGTTTATTTGTCTTTTTTTGTTGTGTGCAACAACACTAAAGTGGCCAAATTGGCTGATTAGCTATTTTGCTTCCAAGCTGTCGATACTTCATAGCTCACAACTGACGATAGACAGCTGGAGCTCAAATATATTACCTAACATTACCTACCACTGCCGCCTAAATATGTTATAGTGCCAAGTCAGAGGTTAAAACTAAGACCCTATGATCTGCCTCAATAAGTGTGTTTTCTGCTTTCTTTCATTTCCTCGATCCAACTGATGAAAAGACACTTTATTCAAATTATGTGTGTTACGATATGATTGGGAAAGCTTACAACTGTGGACAATTATTGTGATAAGCTCAAATAATTACAGTCATAGTATTATATGTGACAGCCTACTGGAGATTAGATTGTTGGCCAAACCAGTTTAAATCCTGTTAAACAGGCAATGAAGTGAGAAGGGTTTTATACAGAAACATCTCCGTCTCTGTCTCTACTCAAAGTTTTCAGAACAGAATGAAAGCACCCCGGGCTTGTACATGTACACAACGCTTCATAGCACCAACTACTGCACCCTTCAGATAATTGTCTCACTGACTTGCAGATAGTGTAAAAGCTTGAGTGAACTCTA